TCTACATTATATTTTACATTATTTATTTGTAACATATGGTGCCGTGACCAGGATTGAAAGGCGAACAGAAAGTTAAGATTCTTTTAAGGAAAAAAAAGTTCAATGTTTGCCTGTCAAAATATATTTAATACATTCATAATTAAATTAAGAAAAAAAATCTCTTAATTTACGAAAAATCACTTGAAAATTTTGAGTAGAAAAAACTCAAATTCTTATAAAATTATAGGTAAATAAAGGTTTAAAAAAATTTTAGGAAAAGTTTTAAATAAAGGGTCAATTAAAACATTTTCATAAAGTGTAACTGTGAAAATTATTTTAAGCAACAAAAAAAAAGAACAAATCCCGTGAAAAAAAATGAAAATATAATTGTTATAAATAACAAACAAACTGGAATTTTGAAAAGAATTCAATGCAGATTAATCCATGTGGTATATTTCACTAAAAATTAAGCAGTTAAAACTGTTTTAACAAATTATCGAATGTAATTTTTAATTTTTTTTTATAGTTATTTCTGAGCATTTTTCTACCCATAAAGACGACTGGAATTGAGCTGAGGCTCTTAACTCCTTCGTTTTCTCTGATAATATTTGCTTTAACATTTGTTGTAATGAAAAGCCTGGAATGAGTTTCAACTAATTCTGTTACATAACAGAGGACCCTCTTGGAGAAACACAAGCCCGCTTCAAAACCGTAGATTTCGAACCTAGTTGAGGTAAATATTTACATTTTGGCAGTTACCTCGGCTTACAGTTAATTTAACGTTAATTTTCTAGTTGGCCATTTCAAGTTTCCAAGTCATATAGCTTTTGCTTAGCTAAACAAAATGCAACGTCCCAAAAGGTGGCAGCTTTGCATACGATTTTTTAATTTAGAGAGCTATTCTTTCTAACTTCACTAAAATCCAAAGCCAAATCATTAATTATGCCTTAAATTTTAAGGGTTTAAAAGCTACCTGAATTAACTTGATAAGATGTCACCCAAAAATGTTTGACCACTTGAAAAGTCAACTTTTGATGAACAGAGAAATATAGAAATGTACGTTCTGCTTAGTAACAAAAATTTGGCAAATTAGATACATTATTTAATTTTCATTGAATTTGCAAAAATTAAATAAATTATTTAATTAGAAAAATTAGTAGTGTGTATTATACATCTACACTAACATAGAATTATCTTTTAGAAACGATCACCAACTCCACATACAGTGCACTCCCGATTATCCGAGTTAATCACCGGGACAGGTCACATGGACAATCGAAAAACACGGATAATCCGAAAATTCCTTTTTATTAAATCAAAAATGAACATCAGTACAAAAAATATAAAAACTACTTACATTTGCATGCTGTATAACATCAAACTAGGAATTTAACATTTACTGTTTAGAAAAATGTGTAATGCGTCTTTGCTTCTGCTGTTTGTTCATCTCTTGCCGTATATTGACACATATTTTACGTACCGTAGTAATGTCACCGTAATCAAATCCTCGTTCTCCCATATAATCAATCCTAATAAAGTTTACACAGATTTTAGAGCAGTAGAGTCAGGAATTGTATTTCCCTCATATATTACATTTTCTGCATCATCACTATTTGATTTAACAACACAGTTAGTAACAATTTACTCATCTATTAAATACTGGAAGTCACGCTCACATACATCACTTAGAAACCAATTTTCCTCATCAAGAAACCTTCGATTTCTTTTCCTTGTTCAAAAATACTGTTATCATATTCTTCAATATCTGAAGAAGATTGTTCATCAAGCGATCTTTCTCCACGATCGTGATAACGATTTTACCTTTGACCATGATATTCCATATACTGCATCCAATAATGAATATTGATTTAAAAAATTTGGTAGTGTTATAACTTCATGAATCACTATTGCTGCGATTATTATCAATAAAAATATTAGATTCATATTCTGTTAATAAATGGCGAGACTGATTTGAAAGATATATTTTACATGCATCATAATCTTGAAAATGTTTCTTTTTAAAAAAAAAATTTGCGACTCCGAAAGGAGCACGGATAAACCGCAAACCGGATAAACCGCAAACCGGATAATCCGCGCACGGATAATCGAGTGTGTACTGTATTTAGTTCATTATATTAATTAGTTAACCCGAAATTTCACACGCAATGTTATCTACTCATCATGCATGATTGATTTAGTAAAACTTTTCCCCAACAGTCCACTGTAGACCAGGGGTGTCCAAAATTTACTGATCATCGGCTTAATCATGATAATGTGTTCAGCATTGCGCATAAGCTGCCTTTACTTCCCAGGCAAGCTGGTATCCATTTATAAGAAGTTGTGTGAGCCTTAAGCAGCCACTGGGGAACGAACTTCAGTTTTTCGCAATGACAGTTTAGTTTTTTAACCAGTTTTTTTGTAATATTTGTATCATCACTTGTGTGAACATTGTTATAACATTCTGTTATTTTGAAGAATATGATGTAATTATAAAAATTTTGTTCTGAAATTTTCTCTTTTGCACACCGCACTAAAAAGATACTTTTACCCTCTCTTGACGTCAATGTTGGATACAAAAATTAAAAGAACAATTACGTGACTATTACGATGAAATACCATATTTCACATACTTTTGATAAATATTTAAGAAAGAAAAAAAAATTATTGAAACTAATAAGCGATATTTTAAATCTACTATGATTGAAAATTATGTTAAACTTTAAACACTGTAAAAAAAGTGATTTTTTTTCTTTTTTTTTGTAAATTTGATATTGTAAAATTATTTAAGCTTCAAAAATCAGAACTAGTTGTAGGGGAAAAGATAATAATACACGTAGCTTAGTTTGAAAGAAATATTCAAAGAAAACACTGAAACATTAGATTCACAATTGGTTTTAAACTTACGATATCACAATTTGTTTTGTTGTGAAGAAGGAAGAAAAACGCGTGAACTGCAAAGGAAGATAAGATACTGAACATTCTTAAAACCTTAGACCAATTGATATTACATCTTACATCGTCATTGAAGGATTAATTCACGTCTAGTTAGTCTTGAGAGAGGATGTCTATTTTTTGAGGGCTAAAAACATGTGATCATTTTAGAAGCTTCATATTTTTTGTTGTTGTTTTCATATTATTTAGTAGATTACAAACTTCCTTTCTGCATTTCCAATGAGTAAGATTACCAGACGTTCTCAAATCTTGAGAACAGTTTTCAAATTTCAATGATTGATTTCAAAAAGTCCTTATAAAACTTGAGGACAGAAAATTTTTTGCACGTGTTCTCAAATACGCTTGAATTTCTCAGGGAGCATATAATATTTTTATATGCAGCATTAGAAGCATGTGAAGCATTAGAAAAATCAGTAACGCGTATGTTCTCTATACAAAATAGTTTTGTCTTACGGAGAATACAAACTAAACGCAAAAACACACCATGCTGAACTGAGGGATGAAAATCCCATACTCGTCTTAAAATAATCTCAACAAAAAATAAATACATTTTAATAGAGATGTCTAGTCTGACGTCATTTCACTTACCTGTCCACAGGCAATCCATCAATGATCAATCAGTTACAGAAAGCTAACAATATTTTTGGCATGCGATGCTACCTTTATTTGAGATGGGAACCCCAATCGTCCGAGCTCCGCAGTGGAGTGATCGTAAAGACACGGTTCTCAGTAAAACACAGAAGTCAAGCATCACTGGTTGCTGTCAGTGAATGAGCATGGGACCACTCCGTACTGTGAAGTGCTCGACTTCTCGAGCAGGTCGTCAGACTAGCAAAGTGGGGGAGCCATCCCCTCTGCAGCGGATCGAAGTTGTGTTGTTATGTTTTCGTATCATCCTCAGGAATGAATCCCAGACAGTCGTCAATAGCTCATTGTGCAGCTCTAGTGCGACGTAAATAGAGTAACTACCTGCCGAATCAACCAGCAATTAATTACTACAATTGATTTATTTATTACCCTCAAGTGATGTAGTTTATCCTCTGACAAGGACATTTTTATAATCATATACTCACTCATTTTGCATGCGTTCAAAAACAGAATATTACATGCTCGTTATATTACTTAATTATTTAACTTTAATAATTCTCAACCTGATATTTTTTGAAAAATATCTTTGTTCATATGATTTATATTTCCATAAATATATGCGTGTCTTTAAATCGCAAAGTTTTTCGAGGACACTCCGATGATTTGTTCCCAAATCGGGGCTTATAAATCTAGTCACCTTACCAATGAGCCCTGATTTCCACTAGTTTTAAATGTTTTTTTTATTACTTGTACTTACTTCCCCTTTCTGCTTCAAATATTAATGCATTTGAGGCAGAACCTAAACCGAATATATATAAAATATTTGCGCCCCTATTAATTAAACATTTATTTTAAACTAGATATACCAATTTAACCCAGGTTCGTATAAATAAATATATATTCAGAATTCTTGTAATTTGCTCTCGCAATGCTCGTAATTCTCAAAAATATTTTTTAAAAGTTACACCTCGTTCTCTTTTAGAACTTTGTTCAATGAAATTTTCAGTTCCGCATAGTTTCCTTACTTAAAATTCTTTGATCAATTTGAAAATAAAGACAGAAACCAACTTACCTCCTTCTAATATGACTCTCCACATACTTATAAAGCATGCAAAGTGTTGCCATAGGTAGAGACTTCCGCTTTACGCCTCCTGTAGCCCATTTCAAGATTTCAAAGGAGAATATTCTAATTAGCATTTTTTATGAAATAATTCCCTAGTTGTAGAAGAAAAAGCATTTTCATATTATAATCTTTTGAAGTTTGAAATAAATCAGCAAATTTTTAATCATAGAAAATTCTCTTTATTTAAACATAGTGTTTATTTAAACATAATATTAGCAAAAAACAAATAAACTCTCCATGTGAGAAGACCTCTCTTGTTGGCAAAGTAAATTTCCACTAGAGGACGCTCAAAGACTAGGGTTGAATAATAATTAGCAGACAACTGTTAAATAACTGTTAACCATAACATAATATTTTTCAGTCACTTCTACTTTCAATTCTCTGTTTTTACCCGCTTCTTACTCGTTGTTCTGCTTGTATCATTTATTTCTGTCAAATTTTAATTAATTTCAATAATCAAATTTTATTTTATCTAATTTATCTATCCATTCATTTCCATATCTTACCTTGTGTGCGTTGTGAAAGTTTTTAATTTCGTTGACAATGTTCCTTGACTGACAGAAGTTCGTATTATGGATAGCAAAGCAAATAGCAACAGTAAAAAGAAACCATTTGAGTGTAAGACATGCGGCAAATTCTTTCCGAATTCACAGGGTTTAAAAGCTCATTCTTACACTCACACAAATGACAAACCCCATGTGTGTGATATATGCACAAGAAGTTTTGTTAGTCCGCTCTATTTAAGTAGACACCAAAAAATTCATTCGAATCAGAAACCTCATGAATGTAAGGTTTGCTTGAAAAGGTTTCTCCGGAAGGATTATTTAAAAAGCCATTACTTAAGTCACTCTCAAGTAAAACCTCATAAATGTGACACTTGTGGTAAAGCTTTTGCTGAAAAAGGTACTTTAAATAAACATTATCGAACTCATACCAAAATAAAACCTTACGTCTGTGACATCTGTCAAAAAGCATTCAGTAGGAATGCCAGTTTGAGACTGCATTATCGCGTTCACACAAAAGAAAAACCTTATGAGTGTGAAGAATGTGGAAAGTGTTTTAACAGATTGTGGGGCCTTAAAATTCATTCTTATTCACATTCCCAAAAAAATCAATTTGTTTGTATTTTATGTAATAAGCAATTTTCTCAAAAGTGCAACTTCGATGCACACTTAAAAACACATAAAAAAAGTGCTGATTTGGAAGATGGCGAGGACGAAAGACTGAATATTGTTTAAGAAAATTTTACTTTGCTTGAGATTTAGCAAATTTTAGTCTAATTAATTTTTAAGCAATATTTTTTCTTTTTTAATCTGCTTTTTTGAAGAGATTTCTTTACGTTTTCTTTTTTTTTTCTAATGAAATAATTTATTTATTTGTTTGGTATTGGAGAATTATGAAGATAATTTTATAATTAATTTTTTTTTATCCTGTAAAATAACTTGTGATCATCTGAAAATTTTGATTACTTTTACAAGCTATCAAAAATGGTTATACTATTTACAATTTAATTCATCTAACTGAGAATTATTATATTATACTTCAAAAAAATTTGATTTAGTTAATTTGTAAGGTATGAAATATGTTGGTTTTGTTTAACATTTCTATTAACTCTATTAGTTCAAAGAATATTTATAAATATTATTACTGACTTATTTTTAATTTTTGCTAGAAAAATAAGACCTTGTTTTTTAAAGGATGAATAAATATATTAAGATTTCTATGGGTGAAAAATACTGTATGGCTCCGTAGTTTTTTATTTATATTATGTTACCTATTTAAAATATTTTCTATACTTTGGGATTAATCCTGATTATTCATAATTAAATTTTAGGCAAGGTTTAGGACAAAATAGTTTAAAATGTCTTGTCCATAACTATCTTAAACCATAACAAACCCTTTTGAAACTTTTATATTTAAATGAATTATCTGAAAATTGTTATCTTTATAATACTTAAGTGCAGGATGTATAAAATGCGAACTTGCACTTTATAATTAATAAAATTCTAATCTTTGAGACACTCTTTACTGTCAAATAATATTTTATTTGAATCAATAATTATATATTTATTTTATCTGTAAAATGCTAAGATTAAGAAATGTAGCAAACTAATGCTTTATTGTTATTTAAATTCAAATTAATGTTTATATGTTAACAATTGAGAGATTAGATAAAATTGATCATTTGAATTACAAAAATTTGTTTAATAAAAAATATGTTTTAGTGGTATAAGATTTTTTTATATTGTAAACTTTTTTCATTTCCATTTATCGATGTGTAAAAGAAATATAAAATGTATCTATGTTATTTAGGGGTGATCAGCCTGCAAAAGCTTCTTAACACAAGAATTTTTTTTTAAAAAATTAAGACATTATTGCTTCTTTGAGTCAATAATTTTTGACTTGCTCAATTTTCACAGATACCGTTGTAAATCTATGTTGTTTATTTATTGCTTTTTCAGCAAATGTTGCTATGTAATTTTGCATGGTTTAAAAAAAACCCACATGTTTTCAATACGATACAGGAGTTTTGAATTTGAGTGAACATATAATTTTGAATTGAGTAGACTTGCTTTATATTCTCAGATTTCATTATAGATCCAATTGTTTTTCGACACTTATAGTTACTAATTTCTATATGGTTTTTAAATCCATTTAACACAATACAGGCCTAGTTTTCAGCAGTTAGTGCTATGCATTCCTGGGATGATTTAAAAAATTTTATTATGATAGATGGAATTTAAATTCCTTATTTAAATAATTACTTATTGATGTGCTTTATTCATTTGGATTTCACTTTTAAATTCAGTGTTTTTTATCATTTTACGTATTTCCCTCTTTGTAATTATTGCTATGCTTTTCCATGTGATTTTGATGAACCTATTATTTTAACTTACAATGTTAGTACATTTTTTTTGGTGCTCAATTCATCTTAAATCCAAGTTATCTTTCAAAGGCTTTCTGGGCAGTTAGTGATATGCATTTCTAAGTGGTATTTAAAATCCCGATATTTTAGTGTGAAAAATTTCAAAAGTAGAAGAAAATGGGAATTTATAAACTTATATGTGCTTTTGTTTCAATATTGTTTTCAATTTATTTATATATATTATAAGATATGCTGTAAGAAAACATTTTTCTGGGAAAAATAAGCACTCGAAGATAAGTTTTAATGAGATTTTGAATTTGAAAAGTAAATTAGCTTTACAAATGCATTTATTTAAATTTTTCAAAGCACGAAATTGGCATTTGAGTTTCTGAAATTTTGTTTCAGTTATATGGTGCATACAGGGCCGGATAAACCTATAGGCACACTAGGCACGTGCCTAGGGCCTGCGAAAAAATTAGGAGAAAAAAAATTGTTGACAAAAGTAATTTAGCTTTAAAAACAAGTGTATTTTGCACAAAATTATGAAGATACAAATAAAAATATAATATTTTTCGGTAATAAATTATTTTGCATAATCTTATGATCTAATATAATACTTTTTTGCGATTTTTGGATTCAACGAAATCTTGTATTATGCTGTCGAATTCCAAACTACGCAAAATGTCGTATTCAAATTAAAATCCATACTAATAACAATGTAAAAAAAAATATGCAAGAAAATTTTAGCATATATTTTGAAAAGAGGGGAGGAGTGGGGGAAGGACAGGGAGGGCCCAAAAACGGCTGTGCCTAGGGCCTACGAAAGGTATAATCCGGCTCTGGGTGCATATCTCTGAATAAATATACATAATTGTTCCCTTATCTGGACTATTCCAAGGTAACTTACGTTACATTCGCATAAACTTTATTGCACTGAGAACTTAGAAGCAAACAAATAATACTAATACACGTATTAAAATAAAATGATTTCTTAAAATTACAACCAAAACCAAAAGGAACCTATTTAAAATAATTATCATTTTTTAATTTAAACAGTGTTAAAACCTAAAATTAGTGTGGTAACCTACGTTACCAAAAAAGGAATGGCATAAATTTGCAATATGCTTGAGGGCAAAATTCTGTTCTTATACAAATGTTATATGATTAAGATTATATGAATCATTTTTCTGACATGATATGTTTAAATATTTCTTATGCCTGGATTAACAATTTTATTTCAAGAGTTAAATGAACTTTTTTAAATGGGTAACTTAGGTTACGAAATTCACTTTGTATCAAACTTTTATTCCAACGATGTACAAATGCGAATTAAGATATTTAAACAGTATAGTGCAAGGGAGAAAAGGTATACATGAAGTAAATTCAGAAACTTTTGATTTACACACTTGATTCACACATTACTATGCAAACTTATAATGTCCTGTTATTAACTAGTACTGAGGGCTCAATTCTTTTATCCATGTTTTCTTACTGATAGTATATTTCTCTTTTTTCTGGCCATTTCCAATAGATTCCCAGAGTAGCAATTACATTGACTTTAAATTCTTGACCTTCAATAGACATTACCAAACCAGGAAATAGCATGTCATTGTATCTAACCATATACCAATCCTCGACTTTTATCTTGGATTCATCATTTTGTTTTTCAACATCTTTCACTAAATAAAACCCTTCTGGTAGGCCTTCTTGTACTCTTAAATGGTGAATCTGCTTAATGTTATTAATCTGTGGAGCTTATTTAAGAATAGACTAGACAAATGTAACTTTTTCAGACGCTTCTTAATATCTCCCGATTTCTAACACATTTATTTTTATTAAATGCTCTTGTGTTGCTGCCACAAACTCAGAGGCATTGGTGGCAATAGTTTTTCTTCTCAATACGACATTTTCAAACTCTTTTTAAAAGATCCAATCGTCCCATCAACAGGACCTTTGCTGTGTGACATGGCAAAATAATTCCACATCAATTTTTTCCCATGATGAAGCTCAAGAACAGGTAAGACCGAAGCTATATATCAATTCTTGAACTGGCAGCTTGGCTCATCTGACCAGATGTGAATATTCTTTATATCCTCCAGCAAATTTTCCAAAATGCAATCCATGTATGGCACTACCGCTTTTTTAGTGTGATCTAAATCATCACTTCCATTGTATGATGCTTTTCGAAGTACCATCATAATATGGTGAAAAATACTGACTTGCTTCTTTGCCCAGTGTGCACTTTGCTCCTCGTCTTAGTATTCACATGAATAATTTTCTACAAAATCTACTTGAATGATTGCAGTGTTCTTATCGAATGATGGTTATGTCGCAGCTTGGACTTCTGTAAGCAAGCGCTTATTCACGCTTGGTTTTAACATGGTTTCGAAACTGTGGCTTCATGTTCTTTGTATTTAGACAAATCTTCTGAATTTCCTTCTTCTAACATTTTTTTCAGTTGGCCATGCATACCAGTTCAAACCATTTAGGTTTTCTTTTTGGGTTATTTTGTTTAGTGAATCTTCAAGTTGATGGGAACAAGTTTCACATTCTCCCGACCAGCACTCATCTATTTTTTCTGAACATAAAAATAAATTTCTATGGAACATTATGGAATTTGCTGAAGGCTTCGGTACCCAACCCGAAGTTTTTGTGATGCTTACAAAGACAAACATTTCTTGGAAGTTTGCTACTAAGCAAGACATGCTTTGGACGGAGAATTTAGTTTTTCCAATTTTGCATTCCGAATTTTCTTCTATAAACATTTGGTGCATTTCTCGAACTGAATGAAGAAGGTGCCGTGCTTGTACTTTTCGCTACAGTTGGTGTCTCTAATTATAGCAACATCCTTAACTCCTGGGCTTGTCGAGAGATTCATGGAATTTTTGCACTTTCTCCATTGTTTCTAAAGTTAATGATGAGGAATGTCTGCTCTCATTTCCTGCAGGGGTAATATTTGCTTCATCTTCTTGAGCTACAAATGTGTCATACAGTTTTTTCTTTTTCGTTTTAATGGAGAATTTGGTATGACCCCATTCACTTTACTTGTAGCTTTTCCAAAAGTATTCATACTTGCATATGCTTTGGGGGAATCAGGTGTGCTTGTAACAGATTGAATTTTGTTTTTCTTCATTTTTTCTCTGAATTTTGCTACTCTTTTGCTTGCATTTTTCCCTTTTTTTCTTTTTCCTTTTCTGTTTTTTTTTTTTTTATTTGTGCGTGTGTGTTCTGATAAAGTAAGTTTTTTAATTTCATTTTCTTTTCTCTCAATTTTCTAACCACATCTAGCATCCTTTTCCCTATTATCTTCATATCTCCCTTCCTCCAACTTCTTTGCAGCTGTCGGTGGCATTTTTTATCTATAAACTTGAGAAAGAAATTCCAATTTTAAAACTGAAGTTTTTTGTGCCATAAGAACCAATTTTGAAAGCATATGAATGCCAACTCCCAATTAATTAACTTTAAGCAAAGATTTTCTTAAAAATTAATATCTTAAGTCAGTGTTTATTTATTTAAACTTTGGTATTGTAACTGGATACATCTTATTTAGTTTATATGCCAATTTTCAAGAGAAATAGACTCATTTCACATTGGTAACTGAGATTACATGCATGTCAGTATCTTATGTTACACATATTGAATAGTGCACAAAACAATAAGTAATATTCAAAAAGAAAACTGTTGCTGCTTATGTAGTGTTAGCCTCTGAGAAAGAAAAAATGTTATTCTTACTTTTGTATCACTTGTTCTTTTTTACACATAAAAAATTTTCCTCCTTTTTTGGTAACTTACGTTAGATGCATTAATGCTAGCTTTAAATTTATATAATTAAGTGAATTTAGCAACAAAAATTATTCTAGCACTGCACAATATTTCTATTAAGTGTAATAAACAATATTTATTCTTTGGAACATTTTGAAAGGAAGATAATGTTGTTATACTGATTTTCAAAATCTGACCATGTTCTTCTCCCAAATCAGAACAAGCAAATGCCAATGTTCAGTAGGTTGCCAACACTAAAAAACTAAATTCTCAACAACAAAAAATTTATTATAAATTATCAAACTTCAAACCTTTATAATTCAGAAAACATCCAAAATAATAACATTATTCTTATTTTAATTTTTCCCTTTTTCTTGTAATATGTATGCACCAGTGAAACCTACAGGAACGACCACCTCTGTTTACTACCATTTTGGGAGGCATGAAATTTTCTCCCTAGACCTTATATTGAAGAAAACCTTTAGGAGAGACCATTAAAACCTCTTCGACCAGGCAAACATCTGCAACAATGCGGGAAAAGATCAAATAAGGAAACGCGAAAAAATATCCCATGAAAAATATTTAAATGAGGCTCTTATTTA